AATCTCTAGTGCTGTGTACACTTCTCTATATGTAACCAACCAACGTAATATCCACTGATGATGACATTGAATTGAATGTCGAAACGTTTGGAAATAAAGATTATTTTATAAATCTTTGGCTTTTCTTTGTTTGATGTATCGCCCTCAAGAACTCACTCATATATATATATATATATATATATATATATATATATATATATATAATTGTTCAAATTTTGATAGGACAAGACATTTTTCGAATAAAACAGTTGTATATTACGATACCCTTCTACCCTGATATATATATATATATATATATATATATATATATATACAGCTACAAATATTGCATATATGTGTGTAAATGAATTTCCTTTTGATCGATAAGGTGGAATTCTGTAAATAAGATGTCAAATAAAGTTTTGTGTAGGAATTAGAAATTATCTATTATACTATATAGTACATATGGTCAATAAGATACTAAAAATTTTAATGATCGAATAATTCAACCTAATTTTTGTTAACAAAATAAAAGTGTACTTTAAACCTGCATTAACATAAACTTTACCATTGTTTCGATCAGCATGAATATGACTTTCTATAATTGAAAATATGTTGATAAACTATCATAGCCATCGACTCAAATAAAACTATTGATTTGTAATAAAAAAATTTATTGAAATTATAAAACATATCAATATACATTTATTTACAACCTATTTCCATCATGGTTTTAAAAAAATGAGAAACATATTTATGCAAATAAAGCAAATAACATTCATATTTAATCATTCAGATATTTAAATCATTTGACATTAGATATAAAGAATGCATGTTATGACACAGACAAAGCTATATAATTATTTACAATTTGAAACACACTTCCATAAGATAATTAAAAGAAAGTTATTAAGTAATGGCTTAATATATTTAAGCAAATAAAGCATAATATTTCCGAATGGTTGTACTTTAATTTTTGAGATCTGTCAGTCTAATTGAAAATTCAAACCACTCGAAATTGAAGTTAAATAAAATATAACAGTTCAAGTTTTTATATATAAACGCCATCGTAGTTGATTAAGCTTAAGACTTTTTTAATATTTGCCAATATGTTTAAAACCTTATTCAATGTACAATTATACACTTATTACATAATTGATATTTATTTTGTTATTTGCAATTACTCCATTTCTATATGGTTTTGATTTATAATTCTCGATCTATCCCCATCAATATTTTCCATTATAATTAAAATTGCAACAAGGTAATATGAATTGCAATATTTAATATTTCCACAATACACAATGGGACAGGTAATTTGAAGAGCCCCTGAAGAACCTATAAATTAACAATTATTGTAATTTTTGTGGATGTAATTCTAAATTATATTTATATTTCAATACCTGTAAAAACTAGTAGTTGAGAGTGCAGCTGTACAATAAAATGTTCTGTGGTCTGGGTCTCATCGGGGTTGTTTGTAAGAATGTGGGCGATGAATAATAGAATGTTGAAGGAATAGGTGAAGAACAAAAAGTATATGTATGAAATAATGTTGAAGGAATTAGTGAAGAAGGCAGAGCATAAGAATGATATGCAAGGGATGTTCTCGGATTAATTCTGAAATTATTGGAAAATGTGCAGTGGATAATGAAGTCTATCGAAGATATATTAGGAATTGAGGTATGAAAGGTTTCGATGTACCTTTGCAACGAGAAAATAGTATGTAATATCTTTGGGCAAAATATGCATTTAAAATTTTTGTAAAACTGTTTAGGCTGTTTGCCATGTACCAATCTGTTGTGCCGAGAAAGTGAACAATTGCACTAAAAAGTTTTGAAGCAATGATTACATTGCTTCTGCACTTTCTCGTTGAATGAAAAAAGTGACCTAACCTAGCATAATCTATTATTAAAAGACAATTCATGTAAACCTAACGCAACGTAACCTATTATTAAAAGATAACTTATGTAAAGAATAGAATCTAGTAAACAATGTAACTAAAAACGTATTAAAATCATTGCTATTGAAAAATACCTTAACCTATAAAGCAAGTAAAAAGTAATGAAAACATAATCTAAACAAATAAATATTTTATATGATAATTACGGCGAACACACGATTAACTAAAAAGTATACTAAAAAAATATGAATAGTTCACAAAATAATAAAAACAAAATAGTAAAAGAAGAAACAACCAAAAACACGCCGCAAAAAGAATGGATGAACTGGAGGAGAGGGAACAAATAACCACAAATAAAACATAATAACGCTAAAACCCCATTGAGCATGCAGCAAAAGTGAAACACTTCTGACATATAATGCAGCAAACTTCACACCTCATTTTAGGTATACTGAGTATGCTGAGCGATGTCAAACATGTGTCAAACGGTGTGAAACCATCACTGTATAATGATACTCCTAACCATAGATAAAAGAAGAGTATATAGATCGCTCTCTCGGGCCATATTTCGTTGCCACGTTTTTCGGTCAAAACTGTCAATTTGCCCGGGTTAGTTCCCTCTCCCAATGTAGATGGCGCCAGCGTCGGCCATGGGTGCGAATATAAAATGCTGAAGAAATGCACCAATATTATATAGACCGTTTGAATTCAAAATTTTTTTTAAATTAAAAAACCAAAATTGAATATAAAAAAGCGTATAATTTTAACAATGACATGTTACATTATACTATTACAATACATATTTATAAGATATGCAATTTGCATAAATGTATATATTATATATTTGTATATATACACATATATAATGTGTACTGTAATATAAATAAATATATATATATATACATTGTATATATATATATATATATATATATATATAATTGCACATAAATGTATGACGATTAGTGAGCTTTATAAACTATGCGCAAATAGCATATAAACGTACATAAATGTATATATTATCCACTGTGTATGTGCATATATATATATATATATATATATATATATATATATATATATATATATAGAATTTTATGATATGAGTGGAACGAATATTAATTGTTTAATATGAACAAAACAGCACTCAGATTTGTTTAACACAACTTTATTTTATGATTACAGACCATGGTCTCGAAACGTCTGTAATCATAAAATAAAGTTGTGTTAAACAAATCTGAGTGCTGTTTTGTTCATATTAAACAATTAATATATATATATATATATATATATATATATATATATAAATATATCATATATGATTACAATAGATGCTACTAAACTTTATAAACTATGTACAAATGGCATAGAAAAGTACATACATGTACACATTATATATATATATATATATATATATATATATATATAAATTGCACATAAATGTATGACGATTAGTGAGCTTTATGAACTATGCACAAATAGCATAGAAACGTACATAAATATTATCCACTGTGTATGTGCATATATATATATCATATATGATTACAATAGATGCTACTAAGCTTTATACACTATGTACAAATGGCATAGAAATGTACATACATTTACATGTATATATATATATATATATATATATATATATATATATATATATATATATATATATGTACGTATGGTTGTTCATCAATGTCTTGTGTGGACAGGGTGGTGTGTCCAAGCCTCGCTTTCTTGTATTCAAAAATAGCCCAATTGCAGCACTGCAAAATGAAATGGCCATTTCATATCACACACTATTCTTCCCTCAATTGAGATTGAGTTTTAGCTCACAGACCTGCCCTAAGGCACAGACTCCTATTATGTGTGTGTGTGTGTGTGTTTTTATGTCAAAAAACTATCTAAATTATATATTTTTTTCTAGATTGCTAGAAAATTTAAATATAATTTAGACATTATCTATACCATATAACTAAAGTATTGAGAATTGATCCGAATAATAAATACCAAACAAAAGAGATAGAAGTTACTAAAACTCTCTTCATGCGCTCAAAAGTTAACTTAAAATCCCAGCAACAACAATTCAAAAAGGTCATAAATTTATATTGCAATCAAAAAAGAGAAACATATTCGAAAATAAGGAATAACATTTATGCCTAAGATATTCCTGTAAATTAACTCTGTTTATATTCATCTTGGTGCTCAATCAAATAATGATAAGTTACATTAAATCTATGTATAGTCTCTATCTGAAAACCTTTTCTGCACATTGCGTTAATCTGCTTTTAAATGTTGCTCAAAATATCATTATCATCATTATCACAAAGAAAAAGAAATCATTATGTTCTCATAACAGTAACTGGCAAAAGTCCAAGAAAGTTATATGCAAACACATTTGACAATAAATTAAAGAATAAAACCAAAATTACTTTTATCTGAAAAGCATATCAACAGCTTACTAAAATAAATTACTATAAGGGGATGTCATTTGCAAACTATTCTGCTGTTATCCGGTAAATTATTGTACAATTCATGATCCATATACTTCTCGACATCTGTTAAATGTATTATCACCAATAATAAACAGAAATAAACTGTTTAGCAAAATATACTCCATGAAGTAGCCACTTATTTACAATTTCTACATTTGCTAAAACATTTAACAACTTCGTTATTTATTACTATAGATTTATAAAAAAAAAAACACATTCATTAAACAATCACAAAAAATATGAACAGTTCAAGTATCAACTATTTGATTTGAAAAAGACAAGAGCATGATCAGAAAATAAACTTTCTCTACCATTTGCCAGTTCCTGAAAACCAACAATATCATCGTTTTTACAGTCGTTAAAGAATGCAGATGATAATGATATTTCATCAAACATCAGAATACAGTTTTTGCTATTCACATATTTTTTCTGTGCCATAGCTGAACCCAATGTTTGGAAAAGGGTCTCATTAATACCACTATACAAGGGAATTGCTGAGAGCAACTTTCTCAATGTTTGAGGAGCAGGCAGAACAAATATTTTTCTCCAAAAGTAATAACCTCTTAGAGAAATTTTATGCAGAGTTAAAGCAAGAATTTTATCATCAAGTGTAAATTTTCTTTCTTTTCGCTTATTTGTATGTTCTCTTAGTTGCCTTAATATAAAATTACGAGCCCTCTTATTTAATGTTGCTGGGAGATAAGCAAAATTGTCAGCACATTTGACACTTTCTTGTAACTTCTGCCTCAATATTTTTTTTGTATATTTATCCTTCTGACTTCTTTTCTCAATACATTTGTTATATGGTATAAATTTTGTTTTTTGCATATCTGGTCTCTGCAGTGCTTAAGAACCTCTGCTGAAAAAAAAATATCTAGAATCATTTGCTACGAACTTAATTTGTAGTATAAAAATTTTTAAATAACTCACCTTTCAGGGACGGTTTTCCATCTTCAGTTTTGCCAGAACAATACAAAAAAGTGTTATAAAAAGAATAATTTTTCAATAACATAGCTTCCAGAAAGGGATTTAGTAAGACGGGTGTCTTGTATTTATAACCTTAAAATTCCTAGCATTGATACTGTTAAATGTCTCAGTTATTGAGCTACAATAAAAAATTATATCAGAAGTTCTAGTAATAGATGCGAGTATTTTGTTGTGTACATATTGATAAAACTTATTCACCTAGTTCTCACCATCAGTGCTCAGCCCGGGCTCCAGTTATTTTACTAATCATTTTACATATTACGTCTTTTTCTGCAGGAAATACACCATTTTCGCATATTTGTTGATGTTCCGCATTATTGTACACCGCACTTTGACATGATATTTGTTATAAACTTTTAACAAACATTTGACACTTTGACACTAAAATATTATTCCGCCATATTAGATTCTCGAATATTTTCTTTAGCCCGTTTTGTAGCGCTACCAGCGCTCCAAACGAGGGAGAGGGAACTAAAAACGAGATTACAGATGTTTGTTCCGTGATTACCGGCCATGCTCCTAACCAAACCTAATAATGGAGCATAGAAATTTGTCGAAGTCATAGATAAGTAAACATAAATAGATCACTATCTGAGGCCATTTGACATTACCGCCATTTTAATATTTTTAGCGATCTGAAGAAGGCAGCACTTGTTCAGTATATAAATCAACCGCTGGTATTATTCCTAGATATGGTTCGCATACGTAATTCAAAATAAGAAAACCTAAATAATTTCTTATATTGGAAATGAGAAAAAAAACATACGAAGTACAAAATATATTTTCAAATATATCACAAACATTTTTACATAACAATTAAAATTTTTATAAATGTAATAATCTAATAATATATACATAATAATAAGTATTATAATTTTACAATTATAAGTAACTAAAAAAAGTATTTACAATGGTATGATAAATTTACAAGGAACAATCAATATGAATTACTGAATGATCAATAATATATAACAACTAGACAGCGATTGTGTAGAAGCATTTACAATAAAATGTTAAACTTAAAAGTAACGATTAATATGAATTACTTAATGATCAATAATATATAACAACTAGACAAAGATTGTGTAGAAGCATTTACAATAAAATGTTAAACTTAAAAGGAACGATCAATATGAATTACTTAATGATCAATAATATATAACAACTAGACAGAGATTGTGTAGAAGCATTTACGATAAAATGTTAAACTTAAAAGGAACGATCAATATGAATTATTGAATGATCAATAATATATAACAACTACACAGAAATCAAATATTGTAAAAGTTTTCATAAGTATAATAAATTTACACGAACTGACTAATATTAATTTCTTAATGACTAAAATTAATATATTAAAAAGAGAAGAAAAAAGTATAGGGTCTAAGTATGTAGTATATACAGAATATACTAAAGATAATGGAATAGTATAATTAGAAGAAATAACAAATAATGAACAAATTTCAAAAGTTAAATCCTACAGACATGAAATATATATATTGATATCAAAATTGATAGAAAACTAAATTCTAAGAATTAAAATTCATTTATGAGTCATGCTTCTTTAATATTAACTTTGCATTTGATAGTTATTTTGCTTTCCAATCAATCATTAATAAAGTTGCATTCTACAATATCTTGAATTTCTTATGATTCGATTGTGTCAATAGAACAGTGCAGCAGTCCTGTTTGTCTATCCTTCTTAACTCCCTCAACATATAATGGATGTGTCATACATTTTACATGCCCTCGGCATCAAGACACTCCTATCCTTAGTCACTAGATTCTGCTGCAATTTGTATTCACAAGAACATCTAATAAACATAACATGTTGTAATATAATATCAAGTCGTTTTAGCAAATACTATTAAAATATTCAGAATTATTATTACCCTTTCCACTGGAGTTGCAGAGTGTTCTCCTGGTCATATATCAGATTGTCTTTCTCTTCTTATATCACTGTGAACTATAGACATGAGAACTATTCTCTAAAATATAATTGGACATTTCTAATTTTTTCACTTCAAGAAGTGCATTTTTATATTACTGAAGTTACCACAAGTTGGTGCGTTACATTTTGCCATATTAAATTTCACATTGCGTTACATTTTGCCATATTAAATGCTTACTTGAATATAATTAATTACATAAACAACATGCGAACCATATGCGAACCACAAACTTTAATACAAAATGGCGAATGGCAAATTTAAGCGATCAATTTTGACGTTTTACATATTTTTTTCGCTAAAAATAGTAATCCTTTCCAAAACAGGGTAATATACATTTGTTCGGAGATAACTCCCCATGGATTATGAGTTGGCATGCATACGGAAGTAATCTTCTATATATATAAAAATAAGTCGGCTTTTCCTTCCTGACGATATAACTCCAGAACGCACAAACCGATTTCGACAATTTTGCATTCGTTGGAAAAGTCTCGGGCTCCGCAAGGTTTATAGTTAAGAAAATTAGTGGTGCATGGCATCGTGCCCTAATGGAAATTGCTGGAACTTCACGCACCGTAACTAAAAATTCGAGAAATAAAAATAATCAATAACTGTTTTCAATTATTTCAAATAGTTTATCTTCTATATATATAAAAATAAGTCGGGTTTTCCTTCCTGACGAAATAACTCCAGAACGCACGAACCGATTTCGTCAATTTTGCATTCGTTGGAAAGGTCTCGGGAAAATTAGTGGTGCATGGCATCGTGCCCTAATGCAAATTGCTGGAACTTCACGCACCGTAATTAAAGATTCGAGTAATGAAAATAATCAACAATTGTTTAAAATAATTTCAAATAGATTATCTATATATATATATATATATATATATATATATCTTCTATATATATAAAAATAAGTCGGGTTTTCCTTCCTGACGAAATAACTCCAGAACGCACGAACCGATTTCGACGATTTTGCATTCGTTGGAAAGGTCTCGGGCCCTGCAAGGTTTATAGCTAAGAAAATTAGTTGTGCATGGCATTGTGCTTCAATGCAAGCTACTAGAACTTCACGCACCGTAATTAAAAATTTGAGTAATTACATTAGTGAGAATTATCAGAATTATGCTTAGTTAAGTCAACGAGCAATTTTTGCCGCAAAGAATAATGATGTACACGCACTGAATTGCACCATTCAATCAAAAATTGCTGGCGATTTGGTGACATGCCAATGATTCCAACTGGTCTTCCGTTTGACTTCAAACGATTGCAATTTCCAGTTCGCCTTGCGTTCGCAATAACAAGTCGCAAGGCCAATCGCTTAGTGTTTGCGGGATAAATTTCGAATAGATTATTTAGAAAATCATTGTTTTTCACATGGGCAGTTATACGTTGCCTGTTCACGAGTTGGAAATCCATCCGCTTTGTTTGTGTTAACGTCAGACCAAAAAACAAAAAATGTGGTTTACCAAAGAGAACTTCAATAAAACGGATAATTTGCGGATTCACTTTCATTTACTTAGAGAAGTTCAACTAAAAAACACTTCATTTTTGTAATCGAAATAAATTCCTTACTGTTGTATAATAAAATCACATTTTTTCTTTTCAAATATAAAACAAACAAAACATTTCTTCATCTTTCTCACAAAACCATCTGGTGGCGAAACGGAGTTCGTCGGGTTTGCTAGTTGTATATAAAAATCAAATAGTTGCTATAAAGTTTAGTCAGTCATTTTTGCTACTTATAATAAAGCAACATGTTTGAACTTGTGTAAAAAAGATCTGATTATTTTTGCTAACAATATTATTAGAGTTATTAATATCAAAGCAGGGTAAAAAAAAGTGTATAAGAAAATAAAAACCTTTATTAAAAATCATTTATATACATTTATAAATATTTTTAGATCGAACATGAATAATATTACCAAATAATAAAAAGAAATAGTATTTATTTGAATAAACAGTTTTATAAAAAATTACTTATAATATTGAACATGTATAGAAGGAAAATACAAAAAATAACATAGGCAGTAAGCGTTTAGAACTTGAACATAATATAGAACATAGAAGGAAAGAGCAAATACAAATAATACGGAAAATAAGCGTAAGAATTAGAATAAAAATTGCATTAGAAAGATATTGTTGCAAGCCAAATGCAAATAAATAAAGATGACTTACGACTTTCACCATCCAAACAAACAACCACATTCTTAATTAAGAATATCAATATCTTTCACCATGCTGTTATACAAATGTTTATTAAAATCTGACAATCCATAAAAGTTAAAAAAGAAAAGCTAAAAAGTATTAATATTAAATATAAAACAATCTTACTCGATAAAAAAACAATACGCCGACGCATCGCTGTTATAAAAATGAACAAATGGCCGACGCGCTCTTGACATCTGACAGCATGAAATCAGTCTTCGCCGGCAGCTTCATGCTGGCTGAATTGTTAGCAAGTGTAAAATTATTAGCATGATTTAATGGCTAGTATAATGCTCAGAAATATTCCTAACATTCCGGAAACAATAAATGTAAGGACAAGAAATGTAGCTTCAATTAAGAGGCATACGAGCCAGCCGAAAGAACCGCAGCACTGTTCTATTGACACTCAATCGAATCATAAGAAATTCAAGATTTTGTAGAACTTGTTAAAGAAGAATGACTCATAAATGAATTTTATTTCTTGGAATTTAGTTTTCTATCAATTTTGATATCAACATATATATTTTATGGCTGTGGAATTTAAGTATTTAAATTTGTTCATTATTTGTCATTTCTTCTAATTATACTATTCCATTATCTTTAGTGTATACTCTATATACTACATACTTAGACTCTATACTTTTCTCTTCTAAGTTTTTATCTTTTTAATATATCATTATTAGTCATTAAGAAATTAATATTAGTCAGTTCGTGTAAATTCATTATATTTATGAAAGCTTTTACAATATTTCTGTGTAGTTGTTATATATTGTTGATCATTAAGTAATTCATATTGATCGTTCCTTTTAAGTTTATCTTTTTATTTTAAATGCTCCTACACAGTCTCTGTGTAGTTGTTATATATTGTTGATCATTAAGTAATTCATAATGATCGTTCCTTTTAAGTTTATCATTTTATTGTAAATGCTCCTACACAATCTCTGTGTAGTTGTTATATATTGCTGATTCATATTGATCATTCCTTGTAAATATATCATTCCATAGAAAATACTCTTTTTTAGTTACTTAAAATTGTAAAATTATAATACGTATTATTATGTATAATAATTAAAACATTTATAAAAATTTAATTGTTATGTAAAAATGTTTGTGATATATTTGAAAATATGTTTTGTACTTTGTATGTTTTTTTCTCATTTCCAATATAAGAAATTATTTAGGTTTTCTTATTTTGAATTACGTATGCGAACCATACCTAGGAATAATACCAGTGGTTAATTTATATACTGTACAAGTGCTGCCTCCTACAGATC